AATCTCACCGGCTCAAGGTTGACTCAGCCTTCCATCCTTCCGAGGTGGGTGAAATGAGGACCCAGACTGTGGGGGCGATATGCTGATTCTGTAAAACTGCTTAGAGAGGGCTGAAAGCCCTATGAAGCGGTATATAAGTCTAACTGCTATTGCTATTGCTATCTAAATGGTGTATCTGTCTAGATTGGGATTTTAACTCTTAGACGTGAGTGGGAAGTGTAAGGAATTGAGCGCTATTTGAAAATCCTGCCTCTGTTAGCCCCAGGGCATCTGTGGGACATCTGGTTAGAAAGTTGCTCCAAAGGAATTGGAAAAGTGCCTTCTCCATGATGGGGTGTGTGTGTGAAGAAATTGTGGTGAATGACATTGACCTGCAGAAAGATGACTTTTTTAATTTTATTTTTCTACCTCAGGATTCTGAAGGATCGCCGGTAGATGTCTCAGTGAAGGATAACGGCAATGGCACCTATAACTGTTCCTACTTGCCCAAGAAGCCAATGAAGCACACAGCGATGGTGTCGTGGGGAGGAGTCAATATTCCCAACAGTCCTTTCAGGGTTAGTGTTCCTTGCAGTAGCAAGCAAAATTATTAGGGCAAAATGGGACTTAATTCATCTTGGTCCCAGGAAGCAAAAGGCGTGCACTACAAAAACTGTTGAAGCCAAATATGTCTTTTCACGGTTCACCAACAAAAGGCGAACAACTAAATCGCGCCCAACTAAACCGCGGTGACAAAACCGCGAGTTCTAAAGCGCTCTGACGAATGAGTGCTGAATCGCGCTGACAACAGCGCGGCGACAGAAGCGCGCTGTAAAACTAAACCTAACCCTAAATGTAACACTAACCCTAAACCTAACCCTGAACCTAACCCTTACCTTAACTTAAATCGGCTTTCTGTCGACACGCTGTTGTAAAGCGCCCTTCTGTCGCCACGCTGTTGTTGGCGCGTTGATGACGTCGCTGTTTTAGCGACGCGGTTTTGTCGGCGCGCTTTTGTCATGCGCGCTTTTGTCGGGTCACGTCTTTTCACTAGTAGATTTCCTTCCCAAACAACAACAACAACAACAGTAACAACTACTTTATTATTAGGATCAGTCAATCAGTCAGATATTTAGACTGGATTTTTGCCCACCCATTGAGTCCTTCCCAAGAGCCTAGAATAGGCAAATGTTGTTTAATAACATATCGAAAGTATTGTCGCAGGATGTAAGCTGTTTTAAGTAAAACTGCCTTTTTCCATTGACTGATGGTGATTTTGTCAATGCCAAGGATGTTCAGGTGGTATTACAGATGTTTTGGAATTGTACCCAATATTTCTATCGGTACTACCTTTGCTTTCTTTTGCCACAATGGTTCTATTTGTCACTCTTTGTATTTTGTGATTTCGTCCGGTTCTTTCTCTTCTCTTCTACTGCCTCCCANCCAGGAGGTTGACCCCTCTGCTCTAGAGAATGATCCTTTTACATTTCCAATTTGTATTCCATCCCTTGCCTCTTTCTCCTTTACCTCTCCCTTAGCTGTCTGTATTGCCTTATTTACATGGAATTGTCCAATTAACCCTTTACTTTCTTTTACTGCAAAACATTTCATTTCATCACATTCCCTTTTAAGGACATGAGGCTTGTAGCGTTGTTGTTTTTTTGTCATTAGTTTATAGATTTGGAGAATCTTGGTTTGTATGATCCAACTTTCCCCAACCTTATGGTTTCTAGGCATGTTGTGTCTCATTTCAGTGCTGTTGTGAAATTAGAGAAATCTTAACCTAAAAACACCCGGAAGGCATCAGAGGGATGGCTGGATTAGTATCACATGAAATATGTTATCTTCAGAACATTGTTTCTTGTATTCTTTGCTTGCCATTTAAAGGGGGTATATCTCATAAATGATCTCCCTTCTCGGTTCTGTGTAAGCGCCTGATTCATTCCCTCTCTGCTCCTTGAAGGCTTCTCAGTGGAGGGTCCCTCACAGGCAAAGATCGAGTGTGATGACAAGGGGGATGGCTCCTGCGATGTGCGCTACTGGCCCCAGGAGCCAGGGGAATATGCAGTCCATGTGCTCTGCAACAATGAAGACATCAAACTCAGCCCCTTCATGGCGGAAATCAAGGCTGCTCCCAAGGACTTCTACCCTGAGAAGGCAAGTACCTCTTTGCCGAAGAGGTGTGCTCACTTTGCGTTTACTGTATTTTTCGAAGTATAAGACACACCCTTTTCCCTCAAAAAAGAGGGGGGAAATCTGGGTGTGTCTTTTACACTGAATGCAGCATTTTTGGCCTCCCGAAATCCCGCCACCTTTGCAAAAATGGACATACAGAGGGTTTGGGAGGCTTGCAAAGCGCTTTTGCCGTTTTTGCTCGTTTTTGCCCCCCCTGACCCCCAAGAGCTTTCTACAAGCCTCCCAAAGCCTCTGCATGCCCCCCTCCCTTTTTTTGTTGCAAAAAAACGAGGCGTGCTGAAGGTTTGGGAGGCCTGCAGAGTGCAAAACTTTTTTTAAAAAAAAATTACCTCTTCAAAATCATGGTGCGTCTTATACTCCGGTGCGTCCTATACTCCGAAAAACATGGTATGTCCGTTTTTGTTTTTTGTGCATCCTGACTTTAGTTTTGTGTGCAGATGCTTCTGTGGTAGAAGAACAGTTAATAGACAGTTATTTGGCTATCTGTGGCTGGCTGATGTGTGTGTGTGTGTGTGTTTCAGATCATGTCTTTACGAATGTCTTTTTAAAGCTGTATCTTCATGTGAAGTTTAAAGCTATTGTTTCCTTGGGAAAATAACATAAATCAATGTTTCTTGCTATCGTGATTTGGGGGAAATCTGCAAAGGGAATTTCAAGCAGGTCTCCCAAATGTAAACAACGAAGTGTAGGGTCTTTTGTGCCAGTTGTTCAGGACTTTATGCAACTTTAATTCTGGTTCTCTGGCTGATCCTACCTTCTCTCAGCAAAATTGATTGATTGGGGTGTGTGTGTGTTTGTGTTGTGATGGTCAGCAGAGGTCCTTCAGTTAACAGTTCTCTTCCAACTCCTTTCAAGGTAAAAGCACATGGACCAGGCCTAGAGAAGACTGGTGTTGCAATCAACAAGCCCGCAGAGTTCACAGTTGATGCGAGGAGTGGCGGAAAGGCACCTCTCAAGGTGCAAGTACAGGTGAGATCAGCAACGGGCACAGGATTCTCCACTGCTAAAAGATGCCTTCCCCAACCTGGCATCTCATAGGGAGCCGAGGTGGCGCAGTGGTTAGGGTGCAGTACTGCAGCCACTTCAGCTGACTGCTAGTTCTGCAGCTCGGCGGTTCAAATCTCACCGGCTCAGGGTTGACTCAGCCTTCCATCCTTCCGAGGTAGGTAAAATGAAGGACTCTGAAAGCAAGCAGAAAGAAATTTCTCTCAGTTG